GGGAATGATCTCACTTGTACTTTGGATTGTGAGTGTGCTAGCATCAGGCCTTCACACATTCTGACCACTGCCTGTCCTCGCCTGACAAATATGCAAAGGCCCTGTAGGAACGTAGAGCATGAGCTTCTCCCATGTAGACCTGCCTTCTGCCATCTACTACCATCTCATGTACTCCTTGCCTTCTGATTTCCCCTCCCTGCTGTTTTCCCCTCTGACTGTCATCCACTCTTTCTCCCACTTTCATTCCTTGCTCCCTTCCCTCCCTCTTCCTTCCTTCTCCTCCCTGACCCTGTCGCGCTTTCGGCCCCCTCTCCCAGCCTATCCTCTCTGGACTCCTAGAGCTTGCTGTGTAATTGGATCTTTTCCTTTCCCTTTCTGTGGAGACTGTGTGACCAGGCTTGTAGCCACTCATGTCAGGATTGTGCACATTTGTGTGGCCTGTCTACTGGTTGGATCTAGATGTTGATAGCTGTTTGCTTGGATGACATTAACCCCCTCAGTGCTGGACCAGCACAGCAACCTCATTTTGAATTATTGCAATCCATGTAATAGCTCTAAGTAAAAAGCTAAACTATCATACTGCAGTTGTGTGTGTCTGAGACTATGTGTGTGGTAGTTAAACATTTGATCATAGAGAACGAAGTAGTCTTCATCAGTGCATGTTATTTTTAGCCAGACTTCAACAGTATTTACTGGATATTGATAATTTTTTATTCATTTATGCGATGTGGGCATCGTTGTCTATGCCAGCATTTATTGCCATCCCTAATTGCCCAGAGGGCAGGTAAGAGTCAACCATATTGCTGTGGGTCTGGACTCACGTAGGCCAGACTAGGTAAGGATGGCAGGTTTCCTTCCCTAAAGGACATTATTGATCCAGATAGGTTTTTCCGATAATTGACAGCAGTTTCATGGTCGTCATTAGACTCTTGATTACAGATTCTTTACTGAGTTCAAATTCCACCATCTGCCATGGCAGGATTCAAACCAGTGTACGCAGAACATTAGCTGGCTCTCTAGATTAGCAGTGTAGTGATAATACCACCAGGCAAACGCCTCCTCTAAATGTTTGATTAAGTTCAGCTGTGGAATTCCCTCCCATCTTCTCTCCACCTCTCTCCCCCACTTTTCTTCTCGACGCAATTTTTTACCTAGCTCTTTGACTAAGTTTTTGGCCGTCTGACCTAATACCTCTGTTTGTGGCTTAGTGCCATGCTTGTTTTAGGCTGCTCATTGTGAAACACCAAAAGGTATTTCAAATGTTAAAAACACCAGTTAAATACAAGTTGTTGTTGAATAATGTCTGACAAACGCACTGTCAGCGTGAAAAGTGTTTCCTAAATGCTCCCGAGTCAGAGAGTGGGCTGGAAGTTCCCTTCTCTAGGAAGATGGTTGCCAAGTGAAGGATGTCAGTCAGGAAGCTGAGCAAGGAGCTGGAGCCAATGTAGGCCAGTAAGCATAGGCACAATGGGTTAACGTTAATGGGATTTGGTGCTCGTTCGGAGTTGGTCATTAGTGTTCTGTGATCTGTAACTGCAGCCAGAGCTTTCCCAGATGTAAACTCTGTTGGGGAGATCAACACTCTCTTGTGTCACACTGGGAGCTGAAGTAATTGCTGTCGGTGATGGGATCAGGCCTTGAAGTGATTGTTTGTCGAACATTCTGATTGGTGGCGAGCTGGGAAAATCAAGGCTGGGGGGCGTTTCTGATGCCTGTGGTGATGTGAAGGATATCTGGTATCTCCCACTGTCGACTCTCCAGCAACTGATTGCAGGCTGTTCATTCCGCAAAACCTCTTTGCTCTAATCTCTCGCAACCCATCGTCAGCGTTGATTCCTTTGATGTTCTGTCTGCGGAGTGTGTTGACTGAGTGGCTATCCTTCAGTCAAGGCTGTTGCTGCTGAGTGAGGGCAGCTCACCCCGTCTCTGAGGCAGAGTCTAGCACGTCAGTGAGTTAGAAATGCAGGTCCTGTTCAGGGTCAAGCTTCAGGGTTGATCCATAGCAGATGATGCTGAATGGACTTTATGTTTAAGAGCTTGGTTCTTGCCATCAACGGGTCCAGGCAGACAGGGTCTTAATTCCCAATTCCTAATTGCCCCTCTTCTGGGGTTATGTTGTGCCCAGGTGCCCTTGGAGAGGGGCCACATCATCCTATGGCTGGCTACAAACCAGGCCCAGGATTCACAAAGTGCACATTAACAAATCAACGTCCTTCAACATTATACCGAGTAGGCAATTGCCCATGTGAAAAACCGGGGTTGTTGGTTCATTCAGAGATTTGCATAAATGATTGGTACATTATAATCTTTCAAATATAAATGTGATTGCCTGAGAATTGTTCTGAAAGCATCCAGCTGAACCCAGTTTCCATTTCAGCTTCATTTTCTCTCGAATCCAACTAGTTAAGATGTGGGTTTTAGTGTTTCACACAGATTTCTCAATCAGGGGCGCGCTCAATCTCGTTGAAGAATACTAGGAATCTATATCCCTATCTAAAAATTCCAGAACGCTTTCCCATACCACTCTGTTCCATTGACTCGCCCTTTCTTATGAATGTGACCTCCTCTACTTTAATGTCTTGTCTGGAGTTGTTTGTTCCTCCACTCAATTTCTCCCCACCACCCAGGTATCCAGACCCGTTGCTAATTGGTGCAGTTTGGCAGGTGGAAATGTAGACATGAATCCCAGTAGATTTGTTCCCAGTTGGTCAATCGTGCTGCCTCTTCCAAGACAGGAGAGAGTGTTTTCACCTGTTTCTGCCTGACTCACTGGAATTCTCTCTAAGTTCCTCTGATTCATCTCTCACAGTCTCAGAAATGATCTGTTTGACAGATCTGTATTCAACTTTTGAAAGAGAATGGGATAGCTACTTAAAATTCAGTTATGGGGAAAGCAGGTACTTTGGGATTAATAGCCTGTTTCCATTAAAGAGTAAAGATAGATTGAATAGCCTTTCTTCTCTCCCATTTACAATAACAGCAGCTTACATTTGTGTAGAATCCTTCATGTAAGTAAAACGTCCTGAGATGCTTCTGAGGAATAAATATCAAACATAACTTGAAACTGAACCACAGACGGCAAGCAATTGGGAAGGTAAATGGTGTGTTGGTAAGTGGTTTTGAGTTCAGAAAATGTCATACTGCACTGTCTTGGTGAGGCCACACGTGGAGTATTGTCTACTTACTATGGAGAGTGCTGTGGAAGTTCACTAGGTTGACACTGAGTTTGGCAGGATGTTGTATCTGGAGAGATTGGACTTCTATTCACTAGAATATAGAAGAATGAGAGGAGATCTCATTAAAACATAATGATAGGGCTAGGCAGACGTGGTTCAGGAATAAAGATAACAAGGTGTAGAGCTGGATGAACACAGCAGGCCAAGCAGCATCAAGAGGAGCAGGAAAGCTGACGTTTCGGGTCTGGACCCTTCTTCAAAAAGAATGTTTTCCCTGGTGAGTCTAGGGAACATAACCTCAGGAAATGGGATAGGCCATTTAAGACTGAGATGAGGAAACATCTCTTCACTCAGGGTAATCAGCTGTGGAATTCTCGACTACAGGAGACTCTGGAGGTTGGGCTACTGTACATATTCATGAAAAAGATTGACTAACGTTTGGATATTAAGGGTGTCAAGTGGCATTGCGAGAAGGCAGAAACATAGTATTGAAATAAAGAGTGAGCCATGATTATATGAAGAGCTAAATGCCCCTAGTTTCTATGGGATGCTGGAACAGATGGCTAAAGACTTGAGTAAAAAGCCGGCGTTTCTCTCCATGTCCAGGATTACTGCACAGCGGACTGTCATGTGGCATTTATTTCTGAATCAAATGTGCTATGCGAATGTGAATGCCTTGTTGTTGTTGCAGCCAGTTGCACCTGGTTTGTTAGCATTAGATATGTTGTCAACAAGCCTGAGCTAGCTTCAGTACAATCACAGTACAATGCTGCTCTGTGTGCCTCCCCTTTGAACCAGCAGGTGTTTGGCCACAACATAGACTTTTATCACTTGAGCATTTGTAATGAATCCTTGTGTATGGTCTGGCCAGCATCTGGAGGACAAGTGGGACATGAAAGGATACAATCTTGGTTGACGCATGTTTCAGGAATGGACACATGGCTTTCTGAACAGGACCATTGAGACACAGCTTCTTTTGAGGCTTTTCGTTTTTAGATTGATGGTTCAGATCATTGTAGGAGCCTACCAACATACACAGAATAGCTGGGACTCGCTTTTTTTTTCTTCCCATGTGATCACAGCAAATCGTTGCCTCAGTATATTGTGTCAACCCTGTTGAATAATTCTCCCCTTCGCTTGGATTTTTTAAAAAAATGAACTTTGAATCTAATCGTAGCTAACGGTTGACTCACAGAGTGGCCAATGATTGCATCTGAGCACAGTTAATGAAACCAGCGTCCTAACTGCTCCAGGGTACGTAAACAGCCATGGGCGATTTGGAGCCTGAATCACTGCAACCCCTAAATGATAGATTAAGTGAAATAGATCAGATGATTGTAAGGTGCATTGGCACAGATCAGTCACTGGGCTTTGAAAGGGTTTTCCTGATCTCACTGTGATAACATGTGGTGAGCCAATCAAGTGGCTTATGAACGTTTATGATGGTGTTTCAACAGCTGAAGGCTGTACAGTTCAATGCAATGCCTTTAGGCCAAATTTAGTGGACAGTAAAAAGTAGTGACATCCCTGGGAGGGTGGGAATAGATGAAGAAGTTTCTGCTGTTAACACTGGAAGAGGAGGAACACGTACAGGACAGTGCATGGACAGTTTGAGAGGAAGATGTGAAAGGGTATGACAGTTTGCAGTGGATAGAGTTGGGGAAGGCAGTCCCCACTGACATTTCCTCCTCTTTCCTTGTCGAGGTGTCAGCTTCTCCCCTGATAGGGTGCTGGGGAATGGTGCAGGGGCCACACCTTGTGCTTATGTGCCTCTCACAGCTATCCTAGATACCAAGAGTGACTGTCTGGTTCTCTCACCCACAGGCTACTTCCAGGAGCTGCTAGACCAATCCGAAAAGAACCTACACAGGAAGCTGACACACATGTATGGACTCCTATGCGCCGAGAATAGCAAAATCTTTAAGGACCTGTTCAGTGAGCTGCGTCATTATTACAAAGGCGCCAACATCAACCTGGAGGAGGTGCTGAATGAGTTCTGGTCGAGGCTGATGGAGTGCCAATTCAAACATCAGAACCCACACTTCCAGATCAGTGACGAGTATCTCGAGTGCATGGTTAAACACGCAGAGCAGCTGAGACCCTTTGGCGAGGTACCTCGGTTCTTCAAGATGAGGCTAACTCGAGTGTTCATCGCCGCTCGGTCCTTCGTGCGGAGCCTCAGTCTTGGCACGGATGTGGTGAAGAAAGTTTCTCAGGTAGGTGCAAACATCTGTCCTTAAGCTAACCTCAGCTACGTTCACACTGTGTGCTGAGGAATAAATATTGGCCAGGGCTGCAGAGAAAATTCCACTGCTTTTTCTTTTAGATCCATCTGAGAGGGGGTTCCTTGTCAGTACAGCGCTCCACTAGTAGGTGTCTGGAATATCAGCCTAGACTTTGTGCTCAAGTCTATGGAGAGAAAGGTCTCCAACCTCCAACTGGCTGAGGGTCACTGGCACTCCATCTATCCACCAGTAAGATGGTGACCCTGACACGAGAGTACTACACACTAAGCTACAGTCTTAGGTGGTGAAACAGTGCCATGTGAATGGTGCTCAGTGTTTAAAATTGTTTGCTAATCCATAGCAACCTCAAAGCTGAGATTTACTGCTACCATTTGGCAGAAAGTTGCTCACAACTAACTCTGTGGAGGAATTCCACGACTTCAGCATCTGTTTGGTTTGAGAGTCTGTTAACTTTCACTGCAGAATGTCGGTGTGCCGAATCGCAAGATTATAGATTCCACACGGCTTCTGTTTGCAACAAGTGTTGGAGCTTGAAGCTGACTGGGGTGACAGCTGAGCGTGAAGAGAGAGCAACTGGGGCCTCAGACCTGACTGTAACAGTGAAATTTTATAAATTAGCTTATTTCAATAATTTCTGCACTGCCATCTGTCCTAGAGATGTTGACTGTAGGGCCATAGTCTTACTATGATGGTGGACGGGTGGAGTGTCAGTGACCCTCAGCAAGGTCAATATCAGTGGCTAGGAGTTCCATTCCCCAACCTCTGATCTCTAAAGAGCTGACCATGTCTTTCGATCAGAAGATCAGGTGGCTTACAGAAGATAAAAGTAGGCCACTTCCACTATTTTGTACTTCATATCTTTTTAGACTTGATTTCCTTCCATTTCTCCATATCCATGATCACTAAATTTTTGTGTAAACAAGAATATGCATATGTAGAGTCATACAGTAATACAACATGGAAACAAACCCTTTGGTCCAACCAGTCCATGCTGTATTCACGTACGTATCCGAATGTCTTTTAAACATTGTAATTGTGCCGACTCCATCACTTCCTCGGGAAGTTCATCCCACACACGAACCACCCTCTGCATAAAAGGTTTTCCCCTCATGTCATGATCATTACATCATGCGCACTGACATATGTAGATACGTACTTAAGTAGCCTGTCTACATGTGTAGGTGCACATTCATTGTAGAGACATACAGCACGGAAAAAGACCCTTTGGTCCAACTAGTCCATGCCAACCCCAATCCCAAACTAAACTAGTCCCACCTGCCTGCGCTTGGCCCATTTCCCTCCAAACGTTTCTTATTCATGTATTTATCCAAATGTCTTTTAAATGTTGCAACTGTAGCCACATTCACCACTTCCTCAGGAAATTCATGTGCATATTCGCATGCGTGCGTATACCTAGACACATGGGTACACACTACAACTGCAAAATCCCACCTACTAACAAAAGAACTGAACTTTGTTTGGAGCATTCCAGTGTATTCAGTGGGAGTAGCATTTTCAAATCTCTGCCGTTACATTGTTGTGTCTTGTGCTGATCGCTGAAACATGGTGCAGAATTTTATCAGGATCTGCAAGGCAGGGTGTGGGAGGGGAAGACAGTAAAATAATAAGGAGCTGCTCTGAGATGCCCTTCCACGTAGTTCCATCGCTGGGGCATTTTGCAATGTGGGGCAGCCGCCCATTGCATGGAATCTCACAGCAATGAGACAGAGACCATTTTATGGATGGGCAGTGTTACTCCCTGCTGTGTGGGGTGCCAAGTAGACAGGGCCATCAATTCTTTGTTTCTCATGATCCAAAGAGGCTGTGGGTGGAGATGGGAGCCCCAATGGTCTTCCCAGGAGGAAAATTTTCCCTCTGACTCCCAGCTCCCTCAATGTTCCTTTCTTCCTGCACCCCCTCCACCCCTCCCACCTCCTAAGGTCTTCTGCCTCCCTCAGCAGCATTGACCTCTTCCTTTGGGGGTAGGTGAGGTTTTAGAGAGTCCGGATCAGAGCAGCAACATCAAGAGCTCACTGACTGCCCTTACCTGGACTTTGGGTGCAAAGGTGACTAATGAGGAGGCTGCCCGTGGTAAAATGGCTAAAACCGGTCTGGCAGCAACCAATTGCCCCCATTGGAATCCAGATGCTGGGGCTAAAGTTCACACCATGATGCCACAGGATGCAACACTGAACATTTTGCTTTCAGGGGGAAACAAAAACTAACAGCTCTCATCTAGTGCTCCATAAAGACCAGATTTACAATGTAACCAACCCTTCAAGTACAGTTTGAACCTCTTTTTGATGATGTTGCGGCTGTTGAGATCAAATGCAGTTACCTCAATGCTGGTTAGACTTCCCAGCCATTTGCCTCCAATCCCTCCAAGGCAAGATGCTGATCCTGTGCGGAATTTGTTTCCTGAACTATATTGCCAGTTCGCTAACAGCGCGATACAGAACCCGAAAACAAAAACAGAAGTTGCTGGAAAAGCTCAGTAGGTCTGGCAGCATCTGTGAATCCAGCAATTTTTGTTTTTGTTCCTGATTTCCAGCATCTGCAGTTCTTTCGCTTTTTATTTACCGAACGCTTAAAAAATGACCTTTCCAGGATCCAACATTTAACTGCAGTGGTTAATGTGTAGCCGTTACCGATTTGCAAATTAGCGGTCAGTGGAGTATTTGCTATAAGTGGTTTAGCTGACTGGCACTTCCTACTGATGAACATTGCAGTTCTATACCCACAGGTCAGCGTTGTGGTTAACTGCTGTCCCATGTGACATTGTGGGATTGTCATTGTCACAGTTATTGAACGTTGTGTTGTTCATTTGGGGGCCTGCTAACATAACTGAATGGATCCTACTCCCTTTCAGTACATGCTTGGCAATGATAGAGACTTAGAATTTTCTTGACCATGCTCAAGGATGCGCGTAAAGCCTTTTTACTCACTTTGCCTTGTTTGTTCATAAAGGTAATGATTAAAACTTGAAACCTATTTGTGATCAATTGACTTGTCTGTAATGCAGCAAAATTATTATTTCTCTTGTAAAGAAATCTGTTGCTTAACCTCATATAATCTGCTAGGAAATAGAGACAGTAAGAGATGCTTCAAACCCCTTTACCCAATGTGCTGGTGTTCCCTATAAAAGGGACAGATATGAGAGACAGAAAAGTTTGGTTGAACTGGTATTGTCCTTTGGATAGACCGTACTTGAATCAGGGTAAAGAATTCACATCTCCATATTATTAAAGGGACATAGAGCTACTGGAGAAGGTGCAAAATGGTTTACTGGAATTGAGAGGATGTAACAGGAAACAAACACAGAGTGCTGGAAAAACTAGGCAGGTCTGGCAGCATCTGTGGAGAAAAAGCAGAATTAGTGTCTTCAGTCTGATATGGTTCTTTTTCAGAACTAAGCACCAAGAAAGATTGGACAGATTGGGCATTTATTTTCTAGAAAAGAGAAGAATAAGGAGTGACCTGAGGTCTTTTACAATTATGAAACACTAAATGAAGTGGACTTAAAATAGATGGGAGAGGGTGTATGTGTGCACATGCGCGCGTGTGTCCAGAACTAGTCTGTTACCAGAAGATAGTCCTTCCCAAGTCTATGTAGGAATAGGAAAGAAACCTTTTACCCAGAATGTGGGGTTTACCACCACAAAGAGCAGTTGAGGTAAATGATACGAAAACATTTAAAGGAGAAACAGATAAGTCTATGAAGAGAAAAGAATTGGAAATTATTGCCACATGTACTCAAGTACAGGAATACAGTGAAAAGCGAACAGAGTCACCATTCTACGGTGCCATCTTAAAATACAAAATACAAAACCGTAATTTTAAAAAAAGGAAGAGAACCAGAAGGAAAAGAAAAGTGTCCAGATCTGCAAGTCCTATCTCCCTAGGCCTAGCTCTGGCCTGGGATTTCAGTCAGCCTCCTCCTGGGACATGATCCACCGATCACCTTTGCCACCACCATTGGTCAGGATGAACCACCTCTGTTGCTGCCACTGACTGTTTTGATGGGATTAAGTAAAGGAAGGTGGGCAGTGATTCCTGCCAGGCGCGCACACACACCCGCGCATAACCGGTAGGTCGAGTGGCCAGCGCCTGTGCTGCAAATACAAAGTTCAGCCTGTGGATTGCTGCTGAGCGATCACGAGCACAGTCCCTGGCTAACTCCCCCCTCCTTGACCCCAGGACATTAAATAGCGAGCTGCTGGCTGAGAATACAGACAAGGGGCCAGATCCGACGTGTTTCCCAGTCCGCATAGCCAAAGTACTCGGAAGCCGGTTTGCAGGAATTGTCGTTGAGCCAAGTGAAGTGATGGATAAATTCTCCAATCCCGCATTCCTGGTGGATGGCCTCACTTGAAAGAAGTGTGACCATCCAATGCTGGACGAGCGTAATGTAGCTGTCCCCGGGAGGCATCAATGATTTTAGTCCTGTTGTCGGCTTTGCTTCTTAAAGAACACGGTTCACTTTTTCAAGCGTCTGGGTGCTGATAATTTTCTTTTTTAAAGAAGCGAGCTTTGGCTGGATTCTGCCTTGCAATTCCACAGATCATGAGAGAGCTGAAGGATTTGTCCACACCTGTACAGTGTTGGCTGATCACCTTTCAGCAGATAAATAAATGTAACCTGACTACAGAAAGTGGGGAAGCGCAGCGCCCCAGCTGCAGGGTTTGAACAGAGAGGCAAGCAATTCTCCACAGTCTCAGTCAGGAACATGAAGCTTTTACAATCCCAATTTCTTCCTATCTCTCTAAATCTATTAAAAGCTATCCTTCTGACAATAGGTATCTATGTCCCTTTTAAGCACCACAGTTGATTACATGTGTCTAACTTTAAGATGGGACACTTCATGCACATATACCTTGTTGAAAAATATTTGCCTGGATTCATTTTTTATTTCTTACTGGCTCAGTTCCATTTCTAGAATAGAGAAACACAGAAAGAGGCCACTCAGCCTG